GACGGCATCGTCGACGATGCCGCGTATCTTTCTCGTGTATTTCAGTTCATAACTCGCTGAAATCTTATTATAGAAATATGAAAAAACTGTAATCTGTCTTCTTTTCAAAACGTCCATTGTCGGAAGTATTAAAGTTTAAAAAATTAGGTTAAATCTGCAAAAAAGTAAACCATGTCACCTTACTTTATTTTACCTGCATCGGGGGCGTGTAGTACCGCTCTCACCCGAAGATCGCTATTCACATTCTAAATAGCCGCATTAGCGCGTATTCAGATCGCATTCGCATGGTAATTTGATGAACGCAGCTTGAAATGCGATCCAGATACATCCCCATTGGGGGGTCGATGTGGTCAGGTGTGAATGGCTCATACATGAAAGTTGCTACATATTCAATGAAAGGAGCCAGAAATAGTTACATGAGTTAGATTTTTCTTATTCATTTATCCAAATGAATATTGCAACTACACCATTTAGTCATCTTCATGTAGCCAAGACTTTGGTGATCAGATATTTGGGATCAAAACAAACTGCCAGCATTGCTTCTTATGTACTTTTATAATGTTTCTGCAAGTGTTCCAAACTGCATTTTGCAATGTCTATACCAGAGCTCTTCAAATCTGGACCTTGATTCCAAATCCAGGCCTTATTTTCAGTTCTCAATGGTAGTTAGTTTAATAATTACATATTCTGATTGGCCAAGGCTTCACACCTGGCTCACAGATGAAGGAAGACCAGAAAACCAGCAGTGCTCGGACCTCCAGGACCGTGATTTGAATAATAGGGGTCTATACTTTGATGTCAAATTACAAACTTTACATAAATCTGACATATTTACAAAGTACACTAAGATTAAGATGAGTTTAATGGCAAAACAAATATATAAGAAATAATTTATTTGCCATGAATTAAGTTTATGATATTGAATAAAATGTGTGACCATGCCCCAGTCAGGGAAAGTGTGTTCCCTACCCCTAGAACCCAGAGGGTTAAGGTGGGGCCTGATGGGGAGTGTTCCCTTAAGGTGGGGCCTGAGGGCAGGGTGTGTTCCCTTAAGGCGGGGCCTGACAGGGGTTACCTTTTCCATCCACCTTCATGACCAAGCTTTTGGGGGGAGCTCACAAGGCAACCTTTTGGGCTAAACTCCCCCACGGTCGGCCTTGGCGCACCAGCCAGCGATATAACCCAGCAAATGCTCCTGCAGCTCATTGGCCTTTAAAACACAGTATTCTAGAGATGGTGCATGCATATTTCATCCACTCTGTTTTTTCTCTTCTTCTTTTTCCCTTCCTGACACACTTCATTTTTATTATCAGGGAATTGAAAAGCTGTTCTGCAGAGCTCCTCTGAGGTCTCACACCCCAAGTGCGGTCGCTACCACGTTCCACGTAGCAGAAACCCACGGCGTCCTGTGAGCACTGCTGTCTCCGCAGACTGCTTTGGGATGTGGAACGCCCATCCAGCAAGGTGTCTTATGAGGACACTCGTGTCCCCAGCGTACGGCACCACCCCTCAGTAATGACGCGATAGTTATAGGACAACATGAAGCGGTCAGGATCGCGCGACACGGGGAACTTTCCAGTGGACCTGGTGTCTATTCCAGACAGGACAAATGGGAATGGAGGGGGGTGGCAACTCGAAACCACAAGGTAAACAAGGACGTTCCCTTATTCCTTTGTGAAAACAATGAAGGGAAAAACGCGACAAACATACTCACACATTGAGACACAGGAGACAGGAGGGATGAATGAACTGGAATAATCTCACACACTTGACCCCCCACCCCCACCCCCTCACTGGTAGTGGGTGTCTCACACCCACAGTGGAGTGGGACCACTGCTCAGTTTGTGTCAGTAATTTTCTAGTAGATGAATCAGCATAATGAGCTGGATGGGCCAAAATAACAAGCAAAATGCCCTGAACTAGGAAGCGTCTTCTTTACTTAAAAGAAACATGGAAATAATACAAAAAAAAACTCCCCAGCTAACCAAAAACAGCAAGAAAATGAGTTAAAAGAAAATGGCGTCACAGTCCCTACTTTCACAGCTACTCACAATGGACACAATATTTGCAAATATACAGGCCTGTAAAAAGAAGCAAAAGCAACCAAATCCAAAGAGGGCTAAGCAAGACCGAGCATCAAACAGTAACACGTCAAGCAGAATAACACTCAGAGAAGCAAGACGAAATCAAAGGAATGGGCCTTTTCTACACTGTCTGGAAAGACCTTTCAATGGAAATGATGAAATGTGAATCAACCAATCAGAAAGGAGACATCTGGGACGTAATAGTGGGCGGAACCAGGAACACAATGGTCACACCCACAGACACACCCACCCAGCAGAGCAGAGCGAATCCACAAGCGATTACACCTGGAGGTCGTAACTATCTAATTACCAACCTGAAGTCACCGGCTTCACATGTCCTGACACTGGACCATGCAGCAGAGATGACGGCCTTCTGGTTTCTTTCATCGATGGCTCCCCACGTCAGCGTGCATGGCTTAGCGACGGGAGACATTCTCATCTACCAATGGATTATCGCCGCTGATAAACTGATAAACATGCGGCATCCTTTCCGTGGGAAAGTAAATTCCTGGATAAATAGTATCCGGTGAGAGGCTGTCCCCCAGAGCCTGGGAATGGGGCGAGCGCCAGGGTGCCGCGAGACGGCATCATGTATTCTGTCAGCGGTGCGCGTGCAGTGGGGAAAACAAGATTGTTCCTGTGCATGAACACTACATCAAACCGGTGCTATTGACAGCACAGGAGACAGTCTGTGCGGACGACCAAGAATGCATTTAGTGTCACACTAAGTACAAAGACTTCTCATGCAGTGTCGAGAGCCTGGGCGCAAATTTAATTTAAAGGCAAGATTTAAAAGGCATTTTCTTTTTAGGAAGCCTGAGTCCTGGGTCCCGGCCATTCCAAGAATATTCTGGAAATGAGCTGCAGGGCTTTTTGCGATCCTTGCCTTCAGCAGTTTGTAAGGAGCACTGGGCAGATTACATGTTGGGGGGTTGTGGGGGGTGGGGTGTGGGGGTAATAATGACAGTAAAATACCAAACATGTGTCAGTGGAATGGTGTGGTGTGAGGATTTATGGGCCCAGTGCGTCATTGTTAACGGACCCGTGGTTCTGTGACTTGTTCTTAGGGCCCAGATGAAATGTCACTGGCCTGGGCTGTTGATGGGGAGCCTAAGCCATCTCTCAGTCATTTGGGGGGAGGGGGGGGCATCAGCAGATTGGACCTCTGCTATTGTACACAACAGCAATCCAACTCCCCACCCCAACCCAGTCCATTGTGCCTGTGTGTATGGGAATCAGCACCTGACACTGCCCCCACTCCCTACCCCCCATGTGCAAGAGGGGGTCTGTGATGCTGGGCTGTTTAATTACCCCTCCAATGTGGCCCACAGGACCAGCCATGGGGGGCTTTCTATGGCACTTCACTCACAAAATTCCCAGTTGTCTATCTTCCTTTTTTACAATATTGTACGTTTCCAATATTTTTTCCCCCAAATGTGGTTGTTGTATTTTCTTCATTGATTGTAATTCAAAGCAAAAAAAAAAACATTCCTGGTGGCCCACCAGCTCCATAAAGCGCATCTTCATGCAGCTTGCAGATAGTCTTTCTTGACATGCGTGTCTGATACACTGGAGAAGTGTGTGTGTGTGAGGCGTTGGCGGGAGGCGCAGTGATTTTGTGCACTTGAATGGGACGTTAAGCTGTTTTTGAGTGGGACGCATTTGGCAAAGCGTGACCTGTGTGTTTAATTTGTTTAGCCGCATGCTGCACCAGGGGTAGCGAGACGCCAGCCCGCCGATGCTGTGGGACAGAAACCCCCCCGTCTATTTCGCATGTTTACCGGCAAGCTGTAAGTGCCCCGCAAGGCTCCCACTTCCTGCTGCATCCCCAGAAGTGAATTTAATTTACATTCACTTTTGAAATTTATTTATTCCATCGACACTTTCAATGCAAGGCAATACAAACCCAGTGCTAAGCGCACACTATAAACCACAAGGTGGTCTACGTAAGGCACAATTACTGCGCATATACACATACAGAGAACAATAAATATGGAAAACAAAGCAAGCACCCTGCAAAGTAGATACAGCGTAGCCAGTGAAGCATTGTTAGCGTTTAGCCTGTCTGCGCTAAGGGGCAGGCGAATAGTCGGATAGGTGCCCCTCTGCTGGGTTGAAGGCATAATCAAATTCTGAAGGTGAGAAATTGCTCTCCAGCTGTCAGACTTGTACAGCAGTACCAGAGCTTTCAACTTAAATACACAATCTGAAAACTCAAGGGCTGTGAGAACTGGCACACAAACGCGTAGGGAGACGTAAAAGCACATGCAAAGCCACGTGGACAGAGAGCTGCAGATGTCCGATGCTTTTTTCTGGAACATCCAGTATGCAGGAAGCTGCAGGGGCCGGGGGAAGAGGCAGTTATAGCCTGGAAGGACAGAACTGCAGAAAAGGAGTGAATCTCTCAATCAGCTCTATACTGCGGCGCTGATGTAACCCCCTGGGTTGGGTCAGAGCTGCAGCAGACCAGCAGGGGGCGAGCTTTCAGGGCAGGCCAAGGCTTTGAGCTTCTCGCTGGTCATTCGTGATGTCAGGGATGTGGCTTTCACAAAGATGGGGAAATCATGGAAGGCTGCTGGAGAAGCTGGAATGTGGAGTATCCCTGTGATAGTCAAGTATGGATTTGCAGAAGAAGAGAAAGAGAGGTGGTGCTGAGTGGACCTAGAACTGAGCCCTGTGGGACCCAAAGTAGATAATGTAGTTTCTGCCAAGCAAAAAAGAACCTGAACAAGGATGAATGAGGCCAAACCTAGCAGAACTGGCCTAGTTTTCCCTTAGACTGGGGTGTCTAAAGAGGTGACATTTTTAAAAATGAGCATCAGTCATCCTTCCAGTTCTGCTAACAGCACAATGCAGCATCCATGTACATGATTGTACAAAGACAATACAAGAGAAGAAAGATTTTGATATATTATAAGCCCAGCTGGCAAATTCCTCTGCATACATCCACTGAATGGCACCACAGTTTAAAATTCACAAAGAATTTCATGTAGCTAGTGATAGAACCAGAGGATATTATGGGCTAGAAACAGGAAGCACTTTTAAATTTAGGCTGGCAGCTCTGGATCCAGCTGCCCATCTAATCCCCTGCCTGTTCCTGAGAACACCCCCACACACACTGGCACTATTCAGTTCAACTTATGATTATTTATTTCTTATACCCCCCATTCATGCTGCTATATTATTTACAACCCCCCCAATTCACAGTGTAAGTCCCGTACAAAGCCCCCCATCCCCCCCATCACTCGCTGTCTGTATGTCACACCGCAGTAGTATTTCATGCTACTGTATACTAGTATGTGGAGAGTATGACAATAAAGCCCACTTAGTTATTATTATTATTATTATTATTATTATTATTATTATTATTATTATTATTGTTATTATCATCGTTGTTGTCATTGCTTGCTGTCTCTATGTTGCACTGTGGTCCTTCCTAGGGGAACATTATTGCACTGTATACCTGTATATGGATGGCAATAAGGCCCACTTGACTTGTCTCTACCACTCTGCTCGACTGTACTTGAATACAGCGTCTGTCCTTTCTAAACACGCCACAGGGAAGGCTCGCCCGAGGGCGGAATCAGGCCCCTGAAGGTCCCAGGAATGGAGCTGGGCCGAGCCGTCATGATTCGTCACACTTTGTCACACTTAGGGTGCTAATGGAAATGCGAGCCTTCACACCGGGGCACGGTGCAGTTTAGTGATCGGCAGGGACATGAGACGGCAGGGGTGAGTCTAGGATTTTTTTTATGGTGGGGAGCTTAAGAGCCGCCATAATTCCTGCATAGGGGCTAACCTCATCATTAGCCAATTATATTTTTTAAATCAGTTAATGACAGTGGAGGGGGGCACTCAGGGGGCCAGTCGGCTTTCAGCTGAGGCCAGTGCTCCTGTGGCCCGGCCCCACTTGTGCCCCTGAGCTACAGCCCCGCAGATTCAAACTACGCCTTGAAATTGTGCTATTGCCAGACAAATTTGATACAGGGGGCTTTCAGATCTCTGACATTTTGGTTCCATTTCACCATTGGCATGAAATCTGAATACCATAACACCCCCAACACTTCCACCCTGTTTAAAAAGCAATACCATCTTTCAGGTAATCCTTTACGAAAGCCCTGAAGCTCTCATGCTCATTTTCACCTCTGTTACACTGTTGTGCTGCATATTTTGAACTCTGGGACATAATCAGCATTTTAAAAATATAATCATATGTCTACCGGTGAATCTGTGAGCTGTCATCGGAATGGTGAATATGACGGTAATTGACGTTGGATTACCTGCTGCGTTGAAGCGATTGTTTAAATTTGTTAACGTGAGGACTGGTGAGGAAGGGCCAGGCGTGAAATGATTTAAGGACCATCTGTGTGGTTTTTCGAAACATCGTTCTCAACTTATTTCCTAACACGGTTACAACCCCTCTAGCTGTTTCCATAAACAGCACCACCCCATATGAGGACTAGTGTGGTTCACACAACACCTTCAATTAAAATCATGCTTAATTATGCAGTGTACTTGGGACAGCACAAAGCACAAAACGTGTTAACAAGTTAACGAGTACCTGTCCTCGCGTAAACTGAAAGCGGGCATTTGGGGAGACGCCATTCCATGGCAGACGAAATGGGCGCATTTGTCCACATACTTCCACCTGTACATTACTAAAATATGTGCTACACTGCAAAATGTATTTAACTGTAAAGCTGTTCCTTCTATTCATTTTCACGGTTTTAGTAATGTTCTCTATTCATGTAATGACATGTTGTTGTTGTATTTTTTGATTTGAAGGCAGGCTCAGAGACAGACTGGTATTTTGGGCAGGTTTGCTAGGGGAGGCCGACTTACTGCTGATGCGTACACACCCCCAGAGTCACTGCTGATGCGTACACACCCCCAGAGTCACTGCTGATGCG